TATATACACAGTATATTAGTCATAGGTTCCCTTAATCCAGCTGACTTTTCTATGATTATGCAAATGGTTAAACTTGTTAGAAATGTCTCCGTCAATAGCCAGAATCATAGAATTACACTTCTTGGCTCTGGCTGAAAAAAAGTAAAAAAAAAAAAAAATCACCTGTAAAATTGCTCTGAATTCCTGGGACACAATTAACTCTTCTATTTTCCCTTATAATGATTGCCTGTAAGCCTCCCATTGCACACGTCCCCCTCCCTACATCCACTCTATAAAGGCAGCTCTGAAATACTGCGATTGTGTCCTCCACGATGGACCTGTCGGCCGTTCTCCTCACAGGCACGCTGATAGCCATGTGTGCAGGGAATCCACAACAGGTATGATGACTCTATATTCTGCTGTGTGCTGTATGGAAGCTTAGATCGTCATCCCTATACTACAGACAATGAATACAGACAATAGGCACAACAACAATTCTATGTGTTGTCAGTAGCAACCAAATTCCAACTTGTGTTACAGATTACAAATGAAAGAAGGTATTTGAATGCTAGTAAGAACACATATATATTTTTCTTCCTCATGTTATAGAGGAGCTTGGTTCCCTATGTACCATAGACCAACAGTGCCTGACTCCTTTTAGTGTATGTATAGCCCAAACTGTTCCTCTAGTTTTGGGTAGGGTACAGTTAGAACATCCGGTTTTTTGCTGTCTTCATCCTCAGTTGGTAGAGTCACCCTCTCTATTTGTCTTCATGACCATTCTCAGTAAGTGATTGGATATCCAAACTTTTAGAGTCACCTGAGCAGGAAGTGAGGGGAATTTTACCAATGAGAACACCTGTTCGAGTGACAACTGTCTAATGGGGGAACTCTAAAATGTTAAAGTTGTTACCAGAAGCGGGATATGAGGGAATTCTTTCAATGGTAACACCTGTTTGGGTGACATCTACCAATGAGAACACATGTTCAAGTGACAACTGTCTAATAGGGTAACTCCAAAATTTTACAGGTGTCACCAGAACAGAAGGTGAAAGGGATTCCTTGAATGGTAGCACCTGTTTGAGTGACAATTGTCCTAAGGGGAATTCCAAAATGTTAGAGTTCTCACCTGAGCAGGAGGTGAGAGGAATTCCTCCAATGGGAATGGCTGCAGCCTTTTGAGACACCATAGGCTGACAGCCCAGAACCAGGGAGCAAAGCAAAAATCCGGCACGGATTTCCGGAAATTGTGACAAATGGGGTAACTCCAAAATGTTAGAGTTTTGTCACCTGAGCAGGAAGTAAAGGGAAGTTCTCCCAATAGAAACACCTGTTTGAGTGACAACTGTCTAATAGGGTAACTCCAAAATTTTAGCTGTCACCAGAAGAGGAGGTGTTTGAGTGACATCTTCCAATGGGGACACCTGTTTGAGTGGCAACTGTCTAATAGGGGAAATCCAAATTTTTTGAGTTGGTGAGGAGAATTCTTCCAATGGGAACACCTATTCCAGTGACACCTGTCTAATAGGGTAACTCCAACATTTTACATGTGTCACCAGAACATGAGGTGAGAAGAATTCCTCCAATGGGGTCACCAGTTCGAGTGAAAACTGTTTAATAGGGGAACTCCAAAATGTTAGCTTTGTCCCCTGAGCAGGAAGTAAAGGGGAGTTCTTCCAATGGGAACACCTGTTCCAGTGACAACTGTCTAAGAGGGTAACTCTAAAATGTTAGCTGTCACCAGAACAAGAGGTGAGAAGAATTCCTCCAACGATAACACCTGTTTGAGTGACAAATGTCTAATAGGGTAACTCCAAAATTTTAGAGTTGTCAGCAGAGCAGGAGGTGAGGGGAGTTCTTTCAATGGGAACACCTATCTTCTCACGAGGGAACGGACAGCTAAAAAAAAAATGACATGGGTTGTAGCCATTCCCTACCCACCAAAAAAACATTTCTGGCAAAATAAACTATTTACACCTGCTATGTACAGGTAGAGAACTCTGTATGTTAGGTCACCCAGCGTGCCCTGTGCAGGTAACATATTATATCATTAATAATCCCTTTACATTGCAGATTCATCAGGAGGCAGCGAATGCGTCAGGTTGGTGATATGTTATCAAACTTTTTCATATTTGTGAATATTCTGTATATTTACTTTTTTGTGCTTATTTTCTCTTCTTTGTTGCATCTCTCCAGAGCCCAGCAATGATGTTTTCAGTGACATTTTAACATCCAATCAAGGTACGGCATATAACATACTATTGTCAGTCATGTATTTAAAGGGTGAGGTGTCTTTAAGGGGTTTTAAAGGGAATTTTTCATAATGGTTCAGCAAGTACAGGTCACATGCTAGTTCCAAAACAGCTAGCGCACATACTAGTTCCATGGCGTAGAACAAGGTAGGCAAACTTCGGCCCTCCTGCTGTGATGAAACCACATATCCCATCATGCATTTTCCTCTGGGAGTCATGTCTGTGTCTGTCAGAGTCTTGCTTTGCCTAATGGGAGTCGTTGTTGCACCACAGCTGGAGGTCTGGAGTTTGCCTCAGTTACGACACTGGTTGTCAGGAGCTGAGCGGGACGCCGGCCAGAGCGTCCCTGGTTGCTAATAGCCAGGCGGTGAGATGTAGAGAGGGGTGGGGAGGGAGCAAATGTTCCCTGACCCACGGAGCAGCACCCTCCTATTCAAGTGGCGCCCAGGGCATGTGCCATACCCTGGATACGCCACTGTGATCCGGTATCAGTGGTTTAAATGTGTACGTCAAGCTCTACAGTATTTCTTGCATCTCCAAAATGAAGGGCATAGTGTGCAATAATTGTTTTCTATCCATACAGACAGTTCCCGATTCATGATGCAAGGAGATATCGCTGTGAAAAGGAACAGGAATGCTGTCATCTGTAGAGGAAAATCTTGTCTGTGGCCGAAATCCAAAGACGGAACGGTCACGGTGCCCTACACCCTGTCTGACAACTACAGTACGTGTTACGCCTCCGACTACTCTCATGCCATTGCAGACAGTTCTGATCGTAAAGTTTTACCTATGTATTTCTGAATGTTATGTTTGTTTATTTAAAGCCCATCTCTGGGATACCGGTAACTGGGATACCGAGAAAATGCACGGAATCTGCCCCAAAGTAGCTCCTGTAATATTTTATGTTTACCAGAGACAGATGCATGGTGGGATTTGTAGTTTCACCGCAGCTGGAGGGCCAAAGGTTGCCCACCCCTGTTCTAAATCATAGACTCTCCTATCTTGAGGAACACTGACCATTGTTATGCTGTTTAAGTCTTCATTTCTTATTATATTTGCTTTTGTTCTTTGTTACAGCATCGGAGGAGAAAGCGATGATCCAGGCTGCCATGGAGGAGGTGACTGTTGTGACTTGCATACGGTTTGTTCCTCGCCATCAAGAGCCAAACTACCTAAGAATCCAACCTTATGATGGGTGAGTTGACCAGTCATCATGATCATGTATTGGCCAGTCTTCATGGTTACATATGTCAGTTCAGCAGTAAACATCGTACACATTTTTACAGAAATATCAGGTTCATCAATGCGCCCCCCTGTATGCAGGCTGCATACAAGTGACCTCAATAACATCGCCTAGATCACTTAAAGTGGCGGCTTCCTCGCTGTACATTTAGCTCTGCTTGCCCAAAGCAGGGCTAAATGTAGAAAACAACTACCTGCCTGGAACTGCATGTCCCGGGCGTCAGGAGATTAGAATTCCACACCCCTGCTGCCCCTCTATTCCCTGCTGCCCCAAGGCCGGGCTTCGGTTGGCCTTGTGGGAAATCCGGCCCTGGTGACCAGAGATCAGCAACTCAGATCTGAATAGTCTCATAATTGCCTTCTAGTATTTTAGAGTAGGTGGCAGGTATTGAAAAACCCCATCAGGTTATTTTTTGCCACCTTTGTCCTATTGGTGAGATTTCCTTTCACTTCCTGTCCTGGAGACACAACAGGAAGTGAGAGGAGATTTCCTAAAAGTGAGGTTAATTTCCCTCTTAAACAGTTGTCACTGGAACAAGTGTCCCCATTGAAAGACTTCCCCTGCCCTAGTCTGGTCACAACAAGGGTTTATTTATAAACAATTCATAGCACTGTTCACCCTGCGACTCTTTGCGAACGTTCCCTCTGTGCAAATAGAAGCAAAAACGAACATTCTCTGTATCTTTTCTTTTCAGTCCAAATATAACATTCAGAAAATACCACTTTATGGCCAATAGATGGCGCTGAAGAGTATATGAAATAAGTACTCATTTTCTATGCTCCTCAGCTCCATCTAGTGGCCATGATGTGGTATTTTCCAAATGTCCCTTTAACCTGAAAAGAAAATATAATAAGAACATTTTCATTTGCCTCTGTTTATAAATAGACCCCTAATATTTTAGATTTCCAGCCAGTGCCTGCTGCTGATACTGATTGGCTGCAGTCATTGTTGGGCTGAGAATTTTCCACACGGCTCCTTCATTTTTCAGATAGAAGGATGTTGGGTGGGAGGCCGCTGCTATGGTCACCCACTGAGCGAATTCTGGCCGAAATACCCTCCGTGTATGGCCAGCTGTAGGTGGAATTTAATTACGCAATTAGCGTATGAAGGTAAACTAAAAATGTATTTATCTGACAAACCTAATTGAGCAATCAGCCCGGACTTGTTAAATAAAACACAGCACCATTCAAATAATGACCTGGCTAATTGTGATGTACTCCTCGGCTGGAAGTCAGGACATGTAAATCAGTCTCCGCTGTATGCCCTCTCCACTGGCACTGCTATCCATCCCTTTGACCTCCCCTACTGCTTATGTTTGCAAAATAGGTTGGACAAGCATTGAATATGCATGTCAGTAAAACCGCAGCTTTACAAGAGACAGAAAATAAAATGTCATTGTATAATCAATGTGTAAACCCCAAAAAGTATAATTATTTGCACCCTTTGATCTGTTAGATATAACAATGGAAGTGTTTTGGTATATATGTTCAAGTGCAACAAATCCTGACCAGCCAGCCAGGAATCCAGTGATCTTCCTGTGCTTTCTGCAGTGTTATCTCAGGCAGTGTTATCAACCCTGCCCGGGTCACCCCGTGGACTACAGAACACCTCCCCCCTTTGTTAGGGACAAGAGAAGAGGTATTTCTCATCCAAATCAAAAGCAAGCAGCCTCCTCCATAGATAAAGCTGGTAGTAGTTAGTCACAATCAACTGCATTTGTTTTGTTATGTTGAAGACATTTCATAGCTTCTCCAAGCCACTTCTTCAGTCCTGATGAGCGTCAGGAAAATATATCTTCATATATACAGTACAGAGGGTGAGCGTTGTCACCAGGGGTGTCCCGAGGTGGGGGTGACACCTGGATCGGGTACCGTGACGCCGTGATAACGCCACATGCGCTTACCACTGTTACCTGCCGGTGGCCATTTTGGTGTTAGACGCCGGCACAGAGAGGAGGGGATGTTCACCCAAAAGGATAAGGTATAGCGCTGCAGCTAACAATTATTTTCATAATCGATTAGTTGCCCGGGTATTTTTTCAACTAATCAATAGTTAGAATTGTTGCCAACTATTCTCAGTATCGATTATAATCGATTTCATTGGTTGTTTGCAGCCCTAATAAGGTATGCCGCTATGCCCCTCTTCTCTCAGGCAACTGTCGGGGCTCTCAGTCCATGACCGAGTGCCCGACTTTTCTGACGGGGGGTGACACCTGCAGCTGCTTGAATTCCAAAACAATGGCTGCATTTGATCAGATCCAGTCACTGTTCGGCCAAGAAGTTTTCATTCAGCTCCTTCGATTTTTTTTAAAATAAAACATTTGTGTGATTTGTGCGCTGACAGGGCCACCTACAGCTCGAATTTTGGTTGATTCCTGCCATGTATGGCTATCTATAGCCTTGCAAGCAGGATGATAAAACTGGTCAGTGATTGATCTACGGAACCCCAAGGACCGATACAAAGGAAACCTGATCTTATGAATTTGTAGGATTTCATGTGTGTAAAGACCTGACTCTGGAAGAGGAGCTCGAGCTGAGATCAGAGTCATACAAATTACAGGTCATCTATATAGCAAGAGAGACTGTCAGAGAGGTGCACAGGAATCGGCTCTATGACTATGGAAGGTACTGGCAGATGCCACAAGGAACCTGCGCTCTGGCTGTAAAGCTATTTATATATCACATGTATGTGCCTGAGAGGTTATTTACATTTTCAAATTTATATTTTTGAAACATGTAATCCTTCATCCTGAGCATAATAAATATGAAAGAGAGTTTGTCAATATTACTATGCACTGGCCTTTCCCAATTAGGGTTCTGTGAAACCCTGGATTCCTCCAGAGGCTGGTAGGGTGTTTCTTGAGCAATGATCAATGTCTGCCTCACTGACACCAATTATCTTTTTAGCTATCTGTAAGATAGCAATTCTTTTCAATGACCATCAATGTAAGGAGTATTCTACCCAATGACCACCAATGTAAGGAGTATTCTACCCAATGACCACCAATGTAAGGAGTATTCTACCCAATGACCACCAATGTAAGGAGTATTCTACCCAATGACCACCAATGTAAGGAGTATTCTACCCACTGACCACCAATATAAGGAGCATTCTTCCCACTGTCCTCCAATGTAAGGAACAATTTTTACCACTGGCCACCAATGTAAGGAACATTCTCCCCACTGACCACCAATGTAAGGGACATTCTTCCCACTGACCACCAATGTAAGGGACATTCTTCCCACTGACCACCAATGTAAGGGACATTCTTCTCAATGACCAGAAATGTAAGGAGCATTCTTCTCACTGACCACCAATGTAAGGAACATTCTCCCCACTGACCACCAATGTAAGGGACATTCTTCCCACTGACCCCCAATGTAAGGAACATTCTTCCTACTGACCACCAATGTAAGGTGCATTATTTTCACTGACCACCAATTTAAGGAACATTCTTTCCACTGACCACCAATGTAAGGGGCATTCTTCCCACTGACCACCAATGTAAGGAGCATTCTTTCCGCTGACCAACAATGTATGGAACATTTTTTTTCACTGACCACCAATGAAAGGAACATTCTTTCCACTGACCACCAATGTAAGGAGAATTTTCCCCACTGACTACCAATGTAAAGAGCATTCTTTCCGCTGACTACCAATGTAAGGAGAATTCTCCCCACTGACCACCCATGTCAGAAGCATTCCTCCTAATGACCACCAATGTCAGAAGCATTCCTCCTAATGACCACCAATGTCAGAAGCATTCTTCCTAATGACCACCTATGCAAGGAACAATTTTCCCACTGCCCATCACACTAATATACGGTGAGCTATATATATGGTAATTATTAGCAGGGGTTCCCTGAAACCAGATAGTCATTTCAAAGGTTACTTCATGGTAACAAAAAAAAGGTTGAGAAAGGCTGCTATACACTATACTTTCCCTTTAATGATAGAAGAAGAGGCTTGAGAGACCTTGATGGTCTGTACCTCGTTATAAGCAGCACTGATCCCTTAAGATCTTTCTGTTCTTCCGATACTACAACAAGCCAAGTGAAAGATTTAAAATAATAATGAGGACACAGACTGTCCCTTATCCAGGCAATGAGACTGGTGAGCTCAGTCTGAGTTTAAATATAGAAAAGCCTTTCTCTGTGATCAGGGTCAGCAGTCAGCTATTCTATCCAACACGCTTTATTAAACACCATTTCACTTTCATAACGGTAAATTGGATGTAATTGGTGGCAGGTGGAGTTTTTAATCTTACTGTTAAAGTGCTCTGCTGTCTTCTCCCAATCGTTGATTGTTACAGACAGAACACAAGTGATCCAATACAGGGTCATCTGGAACGCTGAGCGGTTGTTGGACTTTTATGTACAATCTGACCATCAAATAATCTTTTCATGACCAGAATGGTGCATAAATATATACACTCACTGGCCACTTTATTAGGTACACCTGTTCAATTGCTTGGTAACACAAATGGCTAATCAACCAATCACATGGCAGCAACTCAATGCATTTAGGCATCTAGACGTGGTGAAGAGGACTTGCTGAAGTTCAAAGTGAGCATCAGAATGGGGAATAAAGGGGATTTAAGTGACTTTGAACGTTGTTGGTGCCAGACGGGCTGGTCTGAGTATTTCAAAAACTGCTGATCTACTCGGATTTTCACGCACAACCATCTCTCGGGTTTACAGAGAATGGTCCGAAAAAGAGAAAATATCCAGTGAGCGGCAGTTTTGTGGACGAAAATGCCTTGTTGATGTCAGAGGAGAATGGACAGACTGGTACGAGATGATAGAAAGGCAACAGTAACTCAAATAACCACTTGTTACATCCGAGGTATGCAGAATACCATCTCTGAACGCACAACACATTGAACCTTGAAGCAGATGGTCTACAGCAGCAGAAGACCACACCGGGTGCCACTCCTGTCAGCTAACAACAGGAAACGGAGGCTACAATTCGCACAGGCTCACTAAAATTGGACAATAGAAGATTGGAAAAACGTTGTCTGGTCTGATGAGTCTCGATGTCAGCTGCAACATTCAGATGGTCGGTTCAGAATTTGGCATAAACAACATAAAAGCATGGATCCACCCTGCCTTGTATCAACAGTTCAGACTAGTGGTGGTGTAATGGTGTGGGGGATATTTTCTTGGCACACTTTGGGCCCGTTATACTATCATGTCAATATGGACTAAAATCTCTGAGGAACGTTTCCAACACCTTGTTGAATCTATGCCAAGAAGAATTAAGGCAGTTCTGAAGGCAAAACGGGGTTCAACCTGGTACTAGCAAGGTGTACCTAATAAAGTGGCTGGTGAGTGTATATAGTACTGCAGGAACATGAGCAGATACCTCCAGGTCCAACCTGTCACCTCAAGACAACAATAACATCATGGGTTAAATAATTTTGACTTGTCTCTGTTCTTTCAAAGATGTTGGTCGTATATTGGACGGGTTGGTGGTGCACAGGAGCTATCCCTCATAAAGCCCAGATGTCTACACTGGGGTATAATACAACACGAGCTACTCCATTCCCTGGGCTTCCAGCATGAGCAGTGCCGCAGTGACCGTGACAAGTACATCCGCATCAACTGGGGAAACATCAACCAAGGTACTTCTTGATGAGCTTCTTTCCATGACCTAGCAGGATCATTCTGCACACCTGCTGTGGTCATTGTGATGGACTCTCTGTCTCTCTGTTGGGTTTTTTAAATGTATCTTATATTATGGAGAATGTAACAGGAGGAGCAGGGACACACAGATGGCCAGGGACATCTAGAAGTCTCAAGTGGACTGGAACAGAACCAGGAATTATGGCTTTGTGATCTTACTGTTGGGGAATCCAAGGCATATCAAAAGTCAACAGCTGACTCAGTCCACTAAGTTTGACTTGAAACTAATAATACTTTTGGGGAAAATGATCCTTTAGGGGAGTGGTTGTCAGCTTTCGAGTTATAGAGGGCCTCAAATGTGGTCCCCAATGCCACCAATGGGCTGCATATAATATTCAGTATATATAATGCTTACATTGTCATAGACTGAATACCTTCTAAAGAAAATGGCTGGAGACTGTGCTACTGGATTGGCTGGAGTCATGCTGTCGTACAGTCTCAACAGGTCACCGGCACACACAGAGGAAATTCAATATCTCTTTGATATGTTTTATTGAAGAACATCACAGCATGTCATTAGAAGCTGAAGCTAGTGTTTCGGGACCCTCTGATGAAGGGTCCCTGCTAGGTCCCGAAACACTAGCTTCAGCTTCTAATGACATGCCGTGACGTTCTTCAATAAAACATAACAAAGAGATATTGAATTCCTCTGTGTGTGTGCCGGTGACCTGTTGAGACTATTCTGAGTTTTGCACGACGCCATCCGTGTGATCACCATGAGCACCACCACCATTTGAAGGTTGCAGACCATAAGGAGTGTGGGTGGTTCTTGAAAATAATTATGCTGTAGGACAGGGGTCCCCAATCTCCAGGTGGCCGCAGACCGGTACCAGTGCCTGTTAGGAACTGGGCCACCAGCAGTCTCCTCAGCAGTCCCACTCCCCATCGGGAGCCATCACTAGGTTCCCTGCGGCCTCGCAAGTGAGAGCAGAGGAGTGTGCACGCTGCAGCCTGTTAGCCCAGCCAGGACGGGGGAACAGCAGCAGCTCCGGAGCTGCCCAAGTCAGTGTGTGTGTGATCAGGACGGACTGATGATGAGAGCGGAATGCTCTGACCGGGGACTCAGTGTTCTGCCTGCAAATCTCAACATTTTCACTGCTTACCTATAAGTGTCACTCCATTTCTATGCAGGAGTCCCCAACCCCCAGGTCCCAGCCGCACACTGCCCCCCACACTAGGGTTGCCACCTGTCCAGGATTCACCCGGAGCAGCTGAATACTGAAAAATGGCCGGGACAGGAAGTGGGTGTAAACACCTGGTCAGCAAGTGGTTCAGGCCTCGTTCACACCATATGCAGTGCGTTGCGGCCCAATGCTGCAAGCACTATTTTGATTGCACCAGACCGGACTGTGTAGGCACAATGTGCCTTGCGATCCCATACGGGCGATCGCATTGCGGCCGGAGGGCGTGGCTACGGTGCAATTCACGTCAATGGCCCGCCATGCCCCCTCCAGCCCGGCAAAAAAGTGAGCCGGCCGCAATTCGAGGCAGTGTGTTCCGGCCGGAAAGCACTGCATATGATGTGAACGAGGCCTAAGGGCAGGGAAGTGCCAGGCACTGATAGTTTTTGTCCTTGTTCAGCTCCACAAGCTAAGCAGTATGAATGGGGGTACAGCATGGATAGATGAATCCTCACTGCCAGACTATTGTATTCGGACAGCCGGCACCCACAGCTGCCAGAATACCTGAACAGTGACTGCACCTGCTTGGCTGTCGTCGCTGTACAGTTGACTATTTGCGGCCCAGCTGCTTCAACATAAGTCAGTTGAATTATTGCCTTCTATCAGACCTGGTGGTGATGGCGTGACCACCCATGGATCAGATTTGGGCAGAGTCAGCAGAAATTTGGACAGTCTATGAGCAGCTTCGTCTAAAACCTCCTTTTATTTGCTGATGATGAACATGTTTATGAGAGGCCTACATCTGATTTATGAGAGGCCTACATCTGATTTATGAGAGGCCTACATCTGATTTATGAGAGGCCTACATCGGATTTATGAGAGGCCTACATCTGATTTATGAGAGGCCTACATCTGATTTATGAGAGGCCTACATCTGATTTATGAGAGGCCTACATC